TCACTTCATATATTCTTCTCCTTTTTAATATAGCTTAATGCGATCATATATAAACATAAATTATGACTAAAATTGAGTCTTGTTATTGTACACGTTCAGAAGAAATAATCATTCATTCATTGATGATGATGGCACTTATTGCTATCATATTGATGTTCATAATCAATAGATGTTACAGTTCTTACTATCCCGCTAGGGTCCATGCAGGTAGCAAAAGAACTGTAAGTGCCCATGGTCCCTAGTGTGGTGTTCTACCTTCTGTTGTTGGCCACCTTTAGCCAGTGTTTCCTGTATTGTCCAAAAATGCTATTTAATTTGTTTTAACTTAACATGCTAGTTTTAATTTAACTGTGATAGTCTAGTTGTGTTACTGTCCTTTGACGACTGGTTTTATAATATACACATATTCTTTATCAACGTCAAAATTGTTCTCGTCACGATATGGCTGAAACATTGCCGATGTGACGTTAAATATTAACACACTTACTCACTATAGTTCTTTCTTTTTCTGATATTCTCTTTCACTACAAACAGGATCCCAAAGTATTAAAACACCAAATACCACGTTAGTGTACATGTGTCAGTAACCCGGCTCCAACCTAATTAATCTCTGTCTCTGCACTATATAATAGTGTTGTGTTATGACAATGGCGACATTGTTGCGTTGTTACTGGTTTACTTACTTAACAGATAAGTGTCGAAGGGAAAACGTTGAATCCAAAGCTGCTCACATTTAGCAACAAAATGTGACGTTATAGCAGGATAATACCCACTTGCACACTGACATCCCGACCTGTCTGGGATAAAAATTTAGTTGTCTTAAGATGCAGTGCTGGTAGACAACATTTGTTCAGCTGTATCAATCCATGGTTGACATTTGGAACAATAGCTCCCAGGTTGTCTAAAAATCAGCTGTTGTCGTCAACGAGCCCCAGCGTTGCCTGTTAATGTGCACATGTTGATCACATCCAATACTGGCATTGTATATTGAGTTGTAACTCTACCCTTCATTTAGGGCGCGTTATTATATCGTTACCAGATTAGATTTGTCAATATATGTTATGGTAAAACATTGACTGGACGATTGATGTCATATCATGTTATTATGTTAACGTGAAATTTTTACCACTTTATGTAACTTTACAGTTACATGTTTTGTTTCTTCTGCGTATGTACTTTCGTCTTCTTATGGATGTAGCAAAACAGATGATTTAGTTCAACCCTTGCATAAATCAAATGCAGAATTAAAATTTATTTGGGTTAATATGTATCACATTTAAAATGGTAATGCGACCATAGTTATCTGTAGTTAGCGCTATATATCATTGATGGTAGCAACATTGTATCAAGCCTTTCACATAAAACAACACAAAACAAAAAAAAACATATGTAGGATAATGCGAAATGTCCTGTACGTATATATACGTGTATAGTTAATGCAGTAGTTAAGTAAGTATTTCGTACTGATACAGCCATTGATGTATATAAATACGATCAGAACCTAGTCACCGTCCTATCAAAATATCTGTGTCTTTTCAGCGCCATGTACAAGCGGGGGCAGTGAGTGTGGCAGTCACGGAACCTGCAATGCATCTGGCTCCACCGTGAAATGTGACTGCAATGCTGGCTATACTGGGACCCTTTGTGATGAACGTATGTATAATTATATATATTATATATATATATATATATATATATATTTCTGTAATACCTAATGAACGGATGCTTCATCTACACTGAAGGATCACAGCATTTGGACATACGGGGGAAAAATGAAACACCTGCAGCTGATAAAAGTCGTTTGGTCAATAACAGGTCATCTCATTATAACAAGATGAATTCACTTTTTGAAGCAGTTTGGATAGTACAGAAACAACTAGAACAGCAGGTCGTTGAAGTAGAAGGACATTGTTTTGTTAAAAATCCATTTCATAACATATGTTGGTATTACAATTTCTCAGTAAAGTACAGATTCTAGTACTTTTGTTGGGTTGAGCCGCATCTGGGATTCGAGCCGAGACCCTCAGAGTCAGGTACATAATCGCCAGCACACAAAGCCAGATGCCTAACCCGCTCAGCCACCGCGGCTTCCACAAGAAAATGGAAGTCGGACAACTGGTAGTCTAGACTAAAATCCTAAGCGGCTGAAGGGATAATGTAAATCCAACTAGGTTCCATTCAGGTAGCAAAGCCCTGGTATGGTGATATACCTTCAGTTATTGGCGACCTATAGCCTGTTTCTATATTGTATTGTCTTCGTAAATAAAATAGTTTCAGATTTACATGCTAGTTTTAAACAGCTCTGATACTCTAGTTATTTTACTGTCCTTCGATGACTGGCTATTTAGCAACTTGTATTTATTGTGTATGCAAAACCTTTCTCGTTATTATATGACTGATATATTGGCAAGGTACCGTTATATAATAACTCACTCACTCAAATATTCTTGCAACTTGTGTTCTGTTTGTAGAGTCAGGAGGAAGCCGCGTCACATTCCTTGTACAACTGTTCCTGATTCCCATGATCGCTTCTCTGTTTATGCAGTGATTACTTTCTCCTCTTGAAAACAAAATGAAGGCAAATATATCCCCTTTCTCTAATGTCAAAGAAAGTGTTTCTAAAAACAACTAATTCGTGTGTATAATATATATATTAAATGCCCTGTGTAATAACAGAATGAATCGAAGACAATTATCTCCCTTTGATTTTTATAATCACATCCGGATTTCTACTCTACTGACTAAGAGAATCTTTCCAAAAACAAACCCATCGTGTGTAATTCTGTCATAATACTGTTGATTAAACTTTCTGTGTAATATTTCAAGTATGCAGTGGCAAATGTACACATGTTGTATATGAAGGATTGAAGCGTCAGAATGACCACAGAAAAGAATGGTTATCACTGTCAGTACTTTGCTGACTGACAACAATTATTTATTGGTCACAGTATCATTGTGTTTTCAACTTTTTTGCAATAATATCTTCTTTAAGAAATTATCGTTTTACGGCAGGTCTTTGATAAAAGGCATTAGCAGGCTTCAATCCTCGTGTTCTTTACCTACATGACATGTTGAGCTTCTGACTGATGTTAGTTGTTCCGTCGAAATAAACGGTTTAGTTCACGGCAACTCTGCGTTTGCATCCTCTATTTTAACATATACTATGTTCTGTATCTAAAATTAACATGTGTCGATTATTGGATGTTACGTAAATCCTTAACTCACTCACTACATGTCTGTGAATTCCAAGGTGTCAGTTGTTGTAATCTGACACAATGTCATTTTGTTAGAATTATCAATAGATTTTAGATGGCACGCGATCCTTGGATATTTACGTATGTAATCTAACGTTCTGACTGTAAGAATGTTGCTGTGCGATGTATGACCATCACACATATGTATATGGTAACAGAGAATTTATCCTTTCAAAGCAATTTGTCGGGGAAGTGTGGTGTACATTTACAGACATGACAACAATTTAGTAATTGTTGATGAACTATATTGAAATAACCCATGATTGCATGGACACACGAAGAACACCTAACAGTCATGAACGTGTAAAACTCTGAATGTAAATGTCGTCGGTTTGGTCAGCTGATGTATTAGACATCAAGTGTTTCAGCTTTACACATTATATTCGGAATCAAATATACATGGATGCAGTGCATCAACTGTTCCACGTCCAATAACTGCATATACACATTTGGAAAACGAATCGCAACACCCCATATTATTCATGGTATAATTATGTTACCATTAACAATAACAATGGAATGTTTCGTCAGTTTAACGTATACTCTGGATAAACAGACTTCAAGGAATAATAAACGTAATAAGATCGATAACCGTCATTGCATTCAGAGAAGCAAACATGGAACAAAAAGGACTTGGTTGCACTGCTGATATTATCGTATGATGTAAATGAGATTAATTCTTCTTCATTCAAGATCCTGGTATACAATCCACAAGAATCGCATTAGTATTAATAACCTAGCACAATGTGAATATGTGGTATAATCTGCGCCAACTGCAATAACATCCCTGACCTTACTCCTCACTGACTGTATCAGACGTTGAATTTGACATTATTGTTCCTGTGGTGTACCATTGTCCATAACGATTTTTCTGATCGCCACAAAGTCACGTTTACAGTCATGTGAGAGGCATGCCAGCTTCGACAACCAGCCCCCAAAGAAGGCTAAAGTTCCAGGGCCCCGTTCCTCAAAGCGATCGTAGCGCTATGACAATCGTAAGTCTTTGTTACGTGGGAGTTACAATTATCGTAGCGCTACGATCGTTTTTTGGAACGGGGCAAAGTACCGGTAATGGTGGCTCTGATATATGTGATGATAATTACCAATGTTTAACATAATGCTTTAAAAAAGATTGCAACAGTTTCGGTGCTGCCTGACATGAGAAATGTTTTATTTATATAAAGATTTTGACTTATAAACATTGATGAAAAGTTATGTATGTGCTTGTCTTCATTATTTACGTAAGTGATATTATCCACATTTTACATGGTGTAACCATCAGCCTAACTAAATATATTTTGGGAACTTATTATCATAATACCCGTTTTCAGATCCATCACTTTTGCTGTAGCACTTGGCAAAATCCTTGCTTGTGTGCCATGCGGAGATTGAACTGATACCCAAGTTACTGACCGTTCATTAAAATGTTGGTTGGTTGATTTGTTGTTTAACACCGCACTCAGCAATATTCCAGTTGTATGGCGGCGGTTTGTAAATACTCGAATCTTAACCAGACAATCCAGAAATCAACATCAGAGCATCGATCCACGTAACTGGGATGCAATGACGTGTTTCAACCAAGTCACCGAGCCTGACCGCCTGATTTCGTTAGTCGCCTATAGCATGGTTTGCTAAAGACCACTTCCAATCCAATAAAGTCAGTTCTCATTTAATTATTGCATTTTTAAAAGAATTAGATTTGTTCAGTGATTTGTACATAGATAAATGGTATTTTAAACGCTGTAGTATAAATTAGTAACTGTGATGGCTAGTGGCTGTATCCTCAAAGGGGTTAAAGTATCGTAAAATTATTGTCCTCCTGAGAGGGAAAATGAAACATACAACTTTATGGATGACAACTTCTTATGTATTGCATAGAGAGACGTTTCAATGTAGATTCTTACATCGTTATCAATCTTAAAGTGAATACAACCAGAAGTAGTGGTGTATATATACACAGAATGTTTTGACAACAGCAGGTTAACATTAACACCAACATGTAGTTGAATAACAACTGGTATATAATTATGAGAGGTCAGTGGGAGGCTAAGAACAACAAATGAGACTGGGAACGAAGCCAATAAACAAGGGGTATAAGTTGTAATAACAAGCTGATTGGATGCTTATAGCGTCTATAGTTTGATTAGTTTTTCATAGGCCGATGGTATGTAGTATCCTTGGTCTCTGTTGAGGGGGTACGTAAGACCCAAATCTTTCAAAGTAAAATTTAAACGTACCAAATTTTTTAACGTAGCATTTTTGTTATTTGAATTTTCGGCTAAATTTTCCTACAATTGTCAGTGGCTGAAGGGATGGTGTAAATCCAACTTGGGTCCATGCAGGTAGCAAAGGCACTGTAAGTCCCCATGGTCCCTAGTATTGTGATCTACCTTCAGATGTTGGCGATCTATAGCCCAGTTTTACATTGTATTGTCCAAACATGCTTTTCTACTTTTAAAGATATATGCTAGCTAGTTTTAACTCAATCTGTGATACTTTAGTAATTTTGCTGTCCTTCGTTGACAGGGCTTTATAGATTATATATATGTATTATGAATTTAGAACTAGTTTTAGTCACGATATGGCTGAAATAGTGCCAATGTGACTTTAAGTTTTAACTCACTCACTCACCCAATTCCAACCCGGATCTTCACGGCCCTATTAAAATGTTATCAAACGGATAATCTATAGGTTATTCGAGGGGGTGACATACATGTAAATGCATGCATCGATCACATGGACATACATGCATGCACATGTGCATATATACAATATATATACACACAGACAAACGGACAGGCAGACAGACAGACAGACAAAGACTAATCGGGATAACCTGTGAAATTCGACGTTAAAGACATGCCAAGATATGTTCTGTGTCATGGGGGATGATCACGACACTACGTCATTCGTGTGTTGATTGGAATAAAATATAAGGTAAAACTCCCGTAACGATAGTCGTAAACTAAGTTATATCATCTGCCATGTGAAACAGCACAGTGATTGTTACGAGCCATTTCTCATAAATCGGATTAGACTTTTTATCAGCAGTAAAACAGTACCATAGCAGGCCAGTGTGTTGAAGGTAACAGATTTTTTACATTTTCATGGTCGCACGCGATTTGGGAGCTGGCAGTATGGCAAGTGCTATCACATTTATTAAGAAATTGACAGCTTCAATTGTTTCAAAGATATGTGTACTATCTTTAAAGATACCAATAATATATCTAGGATATCGAAAAATAGTTGAAGATATCTTTATTTTTATATCCAATCCAAAACAGTATAACTGATATCACTGAGATATTAAGAAAATGTTTCGCGATATCTCCTAATGTGTTTATTATCAGTAAAACACTTACCATTTATATTCATGATTTCAGTAATGATATCAATTAAATCAATTTAAGATATTTGAAATACGCTGTACACATCCACAAATGCATTGCAGATATTTTAATTCAATCTGATATATCTTTAATTCAATGAGATGTGTCTTTAATTCAAACAGAGACGAATTCAGTTTTCAAGATATATCTATATCAATTATTGACATCTGCAATACAAGTGACAGAAAAGAATGGCAATTATCTCTATTGATTTTCAATATATCTCTATTTACATTCATCCTCATCATCAAAATCTTTATAACGTGTGAAGGCCACAAGCCCATATACATATTAATATACATATTGGAAACAGGTATGAAAACAGGAAACAATTTCTTAAAAGATTTAGCATTTACCTGTCTCCCTTTTCTTACACGCCAAGTGAAATATATACTCATGCCAATAATGGTTGTCACACCCCTCCCCACCCCAACCCCACACAAACCCCACACTCCCTCTCCAATTAAAAAAAATTGAAGGGGGTGACAACCATTATTGGCATGAGTATATATCAGTAACATATATATGTACATGTACAGCTGTACTGGATTTTGTTTAATAATTTTAATACCTATTTCTATTTTTTTAACTTTCCTCTTATTTTGTATGCATAATAAGTAAAACGAGCTAGATTATTTATGTCTTCAGTTTTGTTTTGTTTAAGGATATTTCTAAACGATAACATATTTACTTGCAAATTCTTAGGCAAAATATCTATCCCGAAGATCGTTATAAGCTGGACATTTCAACAAAAAGTGATATTCCTCTTCTAAATCTACTTTACATGCAGGACAATTTCTTTGAGATACATCAATATTCTGCCACCTACCTACGTTATTCTTTAAATGTAAGACACGAAGGAGAAGAAGAATATTTTACATATAACGCATAACGTGAACTGTTTTCAAGAGTAGATGTCAAATTTTGGTAAAACATATTGATCAAGCGTTCTTTAGAAAAGTGAATAAAAGCGCACGGATCACCGACAGCTTGTGAAAACCAGACAAATCCAAAGCCGTTGTATATGGCGGATCTCAGACGCCCATGTGTGGTACCCAGCAGTATCTAGATAGTTTAACATATTATATCATATATATTCTACGATTTACTTTGAATGAAATGGGACTTACATTCCCTCTCGGGGGAACAACTGTTTACACAACTTCAACCCCCTTTAAAGGCATTGCCACTAATAGTCAAAGTGATTTAATCATTTTACCTAATTAGAACATATATCAAACTGTATCAATTAAATTCTTTAAAAAATCCCCTAAGTATTAAATGAGAATTGATATCAGGAAAAGACCCTGCATATATGATGATATTAATATAGTGAGTGAGTGAGTTTAGTTTTACGCCGCACTCAGCAATATCCTAATTATATGGCGGCGGTCTGTAAATAATTGAGTCTGGACCAGACAATCCAGTGATCAACAGCATGAGTATCGATCTGCTGAATTAGGAACCTCTTACGACAAGCATGGGTTACTGAAGATCAATTCGAAGCCGGACCTTCACAGGTTATATTAATATACATGCCTTGATGGTAGGAAATATCATCCCTGTGGTGTGATGATGGAAAAATCAATATAGTCAAACAGAACATGCTCAACCATGATTCGTCCATCACAAGGGATACGTACAGAATGGAGGATCCTCACCTTTCAATAGATAATCATTTGCATGGCCCACACGGCATCGTCTTATGATAACCTCTTCAAAGTACCTCCTCAGTCCAAGTAGGTGTAACTTATACTTTTATTGTTTTATTTATTCATACATACTTTAGTGTTCAACTTCAGTTGCATTAGATCACACATGTAAGCTTTAATTACAGATTCATAATCATTCTAACGCATCAGAAGTGGCGCCGTGTTACCAGTGATGAAAACATGACAGGGTAACACCAAAAAGATCATGCCGTTTTTACCAGAAGCAAGCTCTTTATTCAGTTCAATCATTTCGATTAAAAGTTTCTAACAAGAGGAAGGAACGGAATATAGTCCCATGCGGGATTTGAACCTACCCCCCTCAAAGACCTAATCTCCAGTAAACAGATATAACCCACACAGCCATGGTTCCCACAAAACTGGAAGTCTGACAAATGGTTGCCTGGTCCAGGTACTTTGTGTGTCCCTCTAAATACAATGGTCAATAGAAATTGTTGTCCAATCTGCCAATGACTATTCGGTGAGATGCTACATTAACACTAAAACATATAACTTTACACATATCAGCGCTCGCAATACCGACCGACCGGGACGGGTTATTTTCAAAACGGACTGCCATATTCTCAAATTCACCTGCCCGACAGTCGGGTTAAAATGTAGACATGTATAAATGAAGATATTTTGTGAGCAGGTAAACTTTGGTCAGTGTTGGAAAGTTTTACATCTAACCAGCCCTGTGGTCTGGCTGAAATTTCTGGGAGTTTCATACCCTGCATATATGCATGTATAACCCATCGAATGTGATATGATCGACATAAAAATCTTATCTAAACTTGTGCACTAGTACAGTTATCACTTTACGTGCTCCAGTGTAAAATATTTATACAACTAGGACACATTTTCACGCTTTTGGTTGAATTCGATAACACAAGAAACGACATTTTTAAAAAACATATTGACACCAATCGACATCGCTTTATTGACGTAATCAGTCGAATGTGTCACTGAATCGGTGATAATTGGTCACGGCTGCAGTCAGTAACGTTCCAAATATATTTGTATATAAAGAACATAGTATCGTGCCACAGAGTTTTCAGCTAAACCCATTATCACGAAGCAAACATGTCAGAATGTTTACGGCCGTTTCACAAGCCCATTTGATTGTCACTGCGTCGTAAAATCACCCAATCTGTAACACACGTCCCAGTATATCTTTAAACTGACTGACTTACTGAGTTTGGTTTTACGCCGCTTTTAGCAATATTCCAGCAACATCACGGCGGGGGACACCAGAAATAGGCTTCACACATTGTACCCATGTGGGGATTCGAACCCGGGTCTTCGGCGTGACGAGCCAACGCTTTAACCACTAGGCTACCCCACCGCCCCTATATTTTTAAAGGAATCACCACCTGTGACATGATATTTGCTATATTTCCATACATGGACTTCTTAATGTGTTATGGATCATTGACGGAGTTGATAACGCGTTGGTGAGCCTGGATTACAGATGTTATGTTCTTACGCTTTGAGATATCTGGTAAGCAGGAAGGTGCAAAAACCTAACCGCACCACTTTGCGTCCGGCATACTAAACAATGCAATGATTCATGTACTTCAGGGCGTTGGGCTTTGGTTCTGCAGTCCATTTGTCTCTAAATGAGAATGACGAAATTTAAAATATTGTGTAAACACCGCACTTTGAAGGGCAGCATAAGAGGGGGTCGTCTCGTGATAATTTTAGTCACAATTTCACGCGCTCATGTC